TATTTTATTTTATAATCATATTTTTATAATTATTATATTCTTGTCACAAATGAAAAAATGTCACACAGTGGATTCTTATTACAGCGCATCAAAATAAAATACGTTAAGCTTTATCATTTTCACTGCAATAGCAATTCAAACAATGAGCCAAACAATTTGTATTTACAACTTAGAGATATAAAAAAATCAAGGTAATACAAAAGAAACATTTGTTCGTAAGAATAACTATTTGAATTTATATCTGACCAGAAATGGGGCGCGCATGCAGTTATCAGATAAAAGTTAAAATTACATTTAACTTTAAAAAGTTCTTGGAGTCACGCGTTTCAGAAATGAAAGTAAAAGATTAGAGACATCGAGGAATATCCATGAAAGGTAAAGGCCCGGAATAAAGAAGTCGCGGAAATAGCCCAGAAGATTCTGCCCCCCCCCCTCCAGTTGGAAATTGAATTCCATTGTGCTTTTGTTAAACGCAAACCTGGCCCGCTTCTTTTCCATTTACTTCGTCAATCAATTTGCTCGTAGAACAAGGCGGATCTGGTAGGTACGTATCTTGAGAAGTACACCGAAATGCAATCGAATTCTTAAGATGGACCGCCTGGAAATCTGAAAATATCGAACAAGTTACATAGTTGCAGATCAATTTGCAGTCTCCTGTCTAGTTCTTCTACATATAATTAAAGTTGCAATAGACACCCTGTATAATAATGACTGTTTGCAATGATACACAATGATAATGCAATACAAAGGAATTATACGTTTTTATGTACGATGTGATAGAAGGGGATATGTGCCTTTACAGACATCATTAGCATCTTCCCAATTCTCCGAGCTATACAGCGTATACTCTATGTCGAGATTTCTTAAAGAAACTTTACCCCGCTTCACTTGTCTTCCTTGCATCAGTTCGTATAGAACTTTTGTATCCCTTCTTTAAAACTTCTTTATGAACACATTTACTTTTACGTTTTCAGGATATTGTAAAGAGCATAATGGGAAAATGATATTTAATTCATTTTTGAAACCAGCTGATCGTATCGTATCAGAACGAACTGATATGTTTCGGCGGGGAATGATAGGAACGATACGATTTGGTGTGAGATTGGCTCAAGTGATACATCAAACGAGATTGCCGCTATTCGTCAAGTCGAATCCTAACGATTTATCGAGACTTTCATTTCTTTTTTAGAATCTCAAACTTCGACGTGTCGATCTCTTTGATTGGTAGAAATCGTGATTAACAATTAAATTTCACTCCGGAGTTAGAAGAAATTTGCATTAACGATTAAATTTCAATTCTACATTAAAAGAAATCTCAATTAATTCCAATTCTCAATTCGAGAAAATCTCAGTTAGCGATTTCTCATTTCTTAATTAGTAGAAATCTTAGTTAACATTTTTAATGCGTTATTTAAAGGCTACTTTATTTATTGATTAAAATTGTTATGTCATTAATTGTAAATGGATCAATTAAAAAAACGGCAACCCCGCGTAAAATATAATTGGAACGTACAAAGAAAATTCACTTTTCAATTTAATGGTAATTGTCTTACATTTTCACTTCTGAGCTAAGTAACCAGGTGACATTTACGTAACATTATATCAATTATCTCTCAATTGTACTTTGACTTCATAAAGTCACATGCATGTGTGTAACGAGAGCATGTGAAGACAAACATTAAAGATACGCCTCAGAATTTTAAAGATAAAGAATCAATGAGGTAATTATAATACAACAGAGGCAAGGAATGTGTTGCAGTAAGCAAGCAGTGTTTTATCGAGATGGATCAATGGTATGGAAAATTAGCCCTGGTGACCGGCGCCAGTTCCGGGATCGGGGAGGCTATCACCATAGCTCTGCTTCACCATAATGTTAACGTAGTGGGCTTAGCCAGGAGATTGGACAAGATGAAAAAATTGGAGGAACAAATGAAGAGCGCTGGAGGAAAGTTTTATCCTGTTCGCTGCGATGTCCGCAAGGAACAGGAAATTCTGGATGCTTTTAAATTTGTCGAGCAGCTCGGAGGAGCTGACATTTTGGTGAACAACGCCGGCTTGGGATTCCACGAAACTATCTCAGGTACCATACTGTGCTTTATTTATTGTTGTAATGTAGAAATCAGAGTGGAACGGGAAAGAGAGAGGTTTTGCAAAAGCACACGAGAGGAGAGGAAAAAACGACGACAGACGTGCGTAGCGATTCATTTTGTTCTTTTGTTTCTACTTTTCGTATATAGAATTTTTTATAATAATTTACTATTTGATAAATATTTAATTTTTGGAATAATTTTATAACATGGATACATGCTTTTATAGATTATTATTGACCCTAGTTCATTGAAATATTAATATCTGTTTATGGAACACATATTACGACTTTTTATGTAATACGTGCTGTCAATTTTCTTTTAGATGGGTCCATCGAGCATATGAAAACTATACTCGATGTGAATGTTCTCGCTGCTGCGATTTGTACTCGCGAGATAACGAAATCAATAAAACAGCGTGGAAGTAGAGGGCACATTATCAACATAAACAGGTAATCAGAAAATATTATTTGAAATCACCTCAGGAATCTCCCATTTTCGTGCGTAGTATTAGTTCTGGAACACTCTGTATAAAAAAGATCGGTAGTTTCGAATTTTATAGATTTATAAGCAAATTAGGTACGATTTTCGATTGGAACGATAAATTAATGATGAACTAATTTAGTTAATTTCTATTTAATTATGAATCATTTTATTTCGAATTGAATTAACACCAGAACTGCCGATCTTTTTTATGTACTTCTGCATTCAAAACTAGTCATTTTTACTGGTTTGGTAGTTCTAGTGTCAATGTTAACGAAATCATTTTCGGACAGTATTCTCGGACACAACGCCATGCTAGTTAAGAGTTCAGGCAGTCTTTACGAGGTTTCGAAATACGGAATAACCGCAATGTCGGAAGTGTTGAGAAGAGAGATGACACAATTAAAACTACCGATTAAGGTGACGGTAAGTTATTATTTCACTATTTATTTTATTTTTGTCATTACCAAAGAATCATGAAATTCTGTTTATGAAATTCGAGAAATCTTTAGCTGTATCAGTACGTTTTACCTTTAAATCGACATAGTGTTTTCATCGCTTCAACGATGGCGATGGTTAAGCTGAAGATAAAGTACTAGTAAAAATGTTTGAATATCGAATTTCGTTTCAGAGTTTGTCCCCAGGTTTTGTGAATACAGATATGCCAGTGATAAAAGATGTCGCTGGTGAAAATTGGAGCGAGAAAGTTCCACATTTGGAAAGCAAAGATATAGCCGATGGTGCTTTGTATGTACTTGGGACGCCGGCGAATGTGCAAGTATGTCAGAGTTCTCTTTACTGAACAATGCATAAATCGAGCTATTAATTTTATGATATTAATTATCGACTAGAAAATTGTCAACATGAGAAGTGTAGATTGAACGGTTTTTCCTCAATTTACATATAATTAATGATTTCTATTTTGTAATTAAATGTTTAATATCATGTTTAAATAATTTGCAGGTGAACGAATTGACGATCACACCAATGGCTTCTTCTTATATTTAGACTATGAACAGTATAACAATTATTCATTTGAATATGTTTTTTTATTGCATGAATTGTATTCAATGTATGAATCGAAGTCTTTTGCACATATTATGATAATAAATCTATTATGCCGACATACATAATGACAAGTAATCTTAATACCGTTTGGCCTTCATATTCCTATTTTTATACTTCAAAGTAAAGAACGTAAAAGCATGTACATATTTGACTGGTTCTTTAAACATTATACATTGTATTTTTATTTTAAATCTTTTGTATTTCTTGATAATAAATTATTGAAAATATTCATAAATGTAGGAAAAAGCCGCAGTCTACTTATCGCAATACGCAAAGACGTTGTCATTTGTTATCACGGTGATTTTCATGCATATAATATCAAGGTTGTGACTAAACACCTAGGAAAATCCATGATGTAACAACATCATGGAAAAATCAATTTTCTAACCACATATGTAAACTATAAGATCACACATCATTGGTGGCGGATCTATGACCCATGAAGGCTTTTTAAATGATCCACCTTTTGATTTATATAAACTTATTTTTTATATCATAAAACAGAGAACAGACAATCAATAGTATTAAATAAAAAATATTTTAATAATATAAAGAATTTTATAAAAAAAAATATTTCCANTTTTACATTTTCTATTTTCTTTTATTTCCAGGTGGAAACCGAACGGAGAACACGACTACGTCGAATACTACGTCAAGGTCATCAGCGCTACAACAGCGAGGGTCGAAAGGTCGGTGGACTAGCAAAAATGGGGAATCGACAGTCCAAGCATCTATCAATCGGAAAGAAGATTTCCGGGTTCGGCAGATGCTCGTGAATGGATACGAACTCAACGCTAAAGACTCCAGTGGTGAGTGGAAATTCATCTTTCTCCACAGTTTTCTTAGGATTACAGATTTTTTAATTGCTGAATGAACAATGAAATTACTCTAAATCGTTGGAAAAACGATTGTAATGGTTAAATAGTAACAGATTTTCTATAACTGCCCAAAAATCAGTTGATCAACTTAATCCTAATTATTAA